AAGGCTTAAAAGCAAGCTAATTGTTCCAAAAGAGGCAGCTAGCTAGCATAATGGCTGGAGTGGTGACCTCGAGTCAGGAAGATTCATCTTCCTGAGTTCAAATCCAGCCTCAGACACTTACTAGGTGAATGATCCTGGGCAAGTCACTTAACCCTGTTTGCATCAGTTCCTCATCTGTAAAACGAGCTGAAGAAAGAAATGGCAATTCACTCCAGTACCTTTACCAAGAAAACCCCAAATAGTCTCATGAAGAGTCAGATACAACTGAAAAATGACTCGACAACAATTGTTATAATGCAGAGGATGGCAGTTTGAATCTCTTGTCTCTGATGTGAGTGATGAGGGAGCCAGGGAGGAGATGGATCATAAGGCCCAGGAGGATTCAGGTCTGTTCTTTTCCAGAGGAAATAGAAGGGATCAAATACTGGTTAATGAAATTCTACCATCCGTAGTGACACCCACTGGCATTATACTGATTAAAGTAGCTCATATTTGGTATGCTTTCCAATAATAACACCATACACTGTGGCCTGTGGTCCCACTGTGGTTTCTATTTCAATTCATTTCCAGATCTTGTTAAGGTGCCTTCATTTCCTTGCCTGCACCAAGCTCACAAGACATGTAACACAGAACATAGAGCCATCAGATGGAATGATGATCAAGAAATCCAATGAATTTCTGCACCCCAGAAGTACACAAAAAGTCAGCCTAAAGCTCACAGGCAATACGAAAGGAGGCCACCAACACAGTCAATCAAACTGCTTTACAACATGAGCAGAGATAGATCTGAGATGCGTAGCCTGGAAGGTTCTGTGTCTTGAAGTAACAAAAGTGAAAGGCTCCCTGAAGAAAGCTGCAGGGTGGAGATCTTGGAGTCTCTAGGGGAATGGTAGCAACCAGTGAAATGCAGCGGCACTAAGATCAGAATAGCCCTGGTCCAGGGGCTTGGAGGTCCCTAGTATTCTAGCCTGTGATGCCATAGAGAGCCCTGAGGATCCAGCACTCTGAATCTCAAAGATCTCTAGGGGGTGACTAACTATAGAAGGTTGAATTCAGTGCAGGAACCCAAGTAACCCTGAACAAAATCAGGCAGTGCAGACCAACCTATCCAAAAGTATAACAAGCTTGGTCTTGGCATGAAGTCTCAATTAAACTAAAGCTGGAGAGATGAGTAAACCAAGGAGGACCTCAAAAAGTATACAAAATAATTGCAGAACTAAAGGTCCTGCCAGTAATTCCATAATAACTGTAAGAAGAGATTCAGATTTTTAAAACAATGGAGTTTGCACAAGGACTGCATGAATACCTAGAAGAAATGAAGCTAGAGAAAAAAAATAAAATAAAAGTTCTGGAACAAAGAACTGGAAGGAAAAAAAAAACTTAGAACAGAAAGTGTCAAATTTTACACAAAATAATGGATTGCCTGAAAACTAGAATAGACAAAATAAAATCAGTGGCTTCAAGAGACATGAGGAAATACTAAACCAAATCAAAAGATTAAAAAAATAGAAGAGACTAAAAGGTCTCTGATATTTGAAAAAGTGATCTCAAAATCAGGTTGAGTATCCATTGATACTTTAAGAATCAATGGACTGTTTCCAGTTCCTTGTTCTCATCAAAAGTGCTGCTATAAACATTTTGGTGCATGTGAGCGTTTTCTTTTTATCCATGACTTTATGGCAGCACAATGGCAGACAGGATTGATGGTCAGAGAAAGACAGAGATGCTCCTGTGGGCTCTATCAAGGCTGAGGTATTGAGGGAGCTTGAGTTCTCTTTGTCAGCTGGCACCTCTGTCTCTCCAAATACCCAAAAGACAGGTGTCAGTGGAACAGATAAGAAGAGAATCTTGAAGATAAGGACACTCTCTTTCAAATATTCACTAAGTCATCAGCTCTTCCTGCTTAGCAGCGAGACTCTTCATCTTAGATTGCAATGCCTTCAGCTGAGTCACAAGTGGCCAGAATCAGGCTTCAACATGGTCATCTGGAACCAAGAAGGGCAACCCTAAGCACATTCCATGGGATGTCCCTCAATAACTCTCACTTTTAGAGATTCCTCATGTTTTCATTCTTCTGAAGGAAGGAAGTTTTTATTTTCAGGTAGAGCTCTAATAAGTTACTGCTATCTTACCATAACAAGAAATTCTGGTGTCTGGGGCAAGCAATATAAATGTACCCCTAGTCAAGAAGTTGGAGAAGATACTGGGAGAGACCTTGGAACTTGGGGCACAAGTGCCTGTGGTCCATGGTAGAGAGACAGAGACCTCGGGATGGGAACATCGGCCTCCCTAAGAGTGGACACTTGTAGTCTATAGCCAGGGAAGCCACTACTAGGGTAGGTAATAAGCGGGGCTAGGGAGTGGGGTGGAGGGATGAAGCAAAGTCATCCAGTAGCTTCCTATTTTATTTTTTATTTTATTTATTTATTTATTTATTTTTAACAATTATCTTTTAAAATTTTGAGTTTCAAATTTTCTCTCTCCTTCCTACCCTTTCCCTACCCCTTGAGAAGGCAAGAAATTTTATATATATATTTATATATATGTATATATATTATATGCAAAGTCATACAAAACTTCTTTCCATTTTAGCCATGTTGCAAAAAAAGGAAGAAAAATAAAGTAAAAAAAATGTGTTTCAATCTGCACTCAGAGTTCGTCAGTTCCCTCTCTGGAGGTAGATAGCATTTTTCATCATTGGTCCTTTGGAATCATATCGTATCATTGTCTTGATCAGAGTAGCTAAATCTTTTGCAGTTAATCATCATTATAATATAACTGTTACTGTATACAATGTTTTCCTGGTTCTGATCACTTTACTTTGTATCAGTTTATATACATTTTCCCAGGTTTTTTCTGAAAGTATCCTGTTGATCTTTTTTTTTTTAAATTTTTTTTTTTTATTTTTGGTAGAGCAATTGAGGTTAAATGACTTGCCCAGGGTCACACAGCTAGGAGGTGTCAAGTGTTTGGTCTGAGATAGGATTTGAACTCAGGTCCTCCTGACTCTAGGGCTGGTACTCTATCCACTGCCCCATCTAGCTGCCCCCTCCTTTTTTTTGTTTTAAATAGTATTTTATTTTTTCCCACAATCATTAATCGCGAACATTTTTAGAATTCATTTTTATAAGATTTTGAGTTTTAAATTTTTCTCCCTTCTTACCTTTCCCTCTTCTGCTGCACAGTTTTATAGCCCTATGGGCATAGTTCCAAATTGTTCTCCAGAATGATTGGTTCAGTTCACAACTCCTTCGACAATGCATTAGTGTCCTAATTTTTCCCACATCCCCTCTAGCATTTAGCATTTTCCTTTTCTGTCATCTTAGCCAATCTGATAGGTCTAAGGTTGTACCTCAGAATTGTTTTAATTTGCATTTCTGTAATCAATAATGAGAGCATTTTTTCATGTAACAACTGATAGCTTTGATGTCTTCTTCTGATAACTGTTTGTTCATATTGTTTGACCATTTATGAATTGAAGAAGCTCCCTATTTTAAGTAATTGTTTCTAACTAGGTGCTATACTCAGTTATTTCTACCTCTTGAGAATTACAGATGCTAATAACAGCCTCTAGATTTAGGCATCCTGGGACAATGTCCTAATTGCCTAGCCCTGGTTATGGCTCTGAGTAGCACAGAGTTAATGCCATTACTGCCAGTTTTTTAATAAAACCATCTTTTCACTGCAAAGTGTAGTGAATCATATCTGATGAGGGTATAGTACTATAGAAATAATTTATAATTACATTTCTTTTATGCTGAAATGAAAGGTCATTTCCGCAGGTCTTTGCTCACACTGAACTACTAAATGGGTCCTCTAATAAGCTGTATTTAACTTTTTAATACCCCATCTTTATTGGTTTCTCTCTGTCCTCCCTTTCATTTTACTATTCTGCATTTCTGTTTATGCCAGCATCCTCTCATAATGCTATGACATGCTCAGCAAAATCCTACCACTTCTGGCCACTGACCAAACCTTATACAATGTGCCTTCACATAAAAGCTTCCGTATGGCAGTCTGTTATGTGAAGTATTTTGGTGGGGATTTTTAAATGCTGCTTTGTAATTAAATGAATGAAAGTTAAGGATCCAGTTTCCAATTAGCTTATACAAAGTCATTATCTACCATTCCGATCAGGAAAGCAGGAGCCCTTCTTCATTTGAATAAGATGCTAAGGGGAAAGGATATATAAGCTTTTCTAAATCTAAAATCACACATCCATCTTTGAAGATAATGTGATTACACTTAATAAAATGCAGACACACAAGAAACTACCTGCATAATACTGGGTAAATCACATCACTTCTCTGGGCCTCAGTTTTCTCTTCTGCAAAATAGGGTTGGACTAGATGAATTTTAATGTTCCTTCTGACTCTGAAATTATGAATTACAAGATACTTCCAGAGAAAACACACTACAAGGGAGAAATGAGTTTAGGGTCAGAGGATTCAGCCACTTACCACCTGTGTGACCTTGGACAACTCACTTCATATCTCTGGAACTCAGTTTCTCCATCTGTAAAATGAAAGGGTTGGGTTAAGTTCGCCTTCTGTTTGAAGATTCTACGATTCCATGAATTTATAAAATAAAAATATGTTATTTAACCTAAAAATATCTTGAACAAGCTTTAAAACACGTATTTTAAGAGTTGGCAAAATATTTCTGAATGCTTAAAAAATGTTAAGCCGTGGATTTTGGTCTTTGAAAAATAACTGACATGTCATGCTCACATTTTAATTAAAGAATTTTTTTACAAAAAAATCTGAAGAAGCAATTAATTTCTTCTCTGATGGATATCAGTATGAAATGAGAACAATTTGTACCATAACATATGTCCATTTTATAATGGATGGAGACCACTAACTCACTTTCCTTGTAAGCATCAGCTAATAAGTCCTTTCATATGTTGCTTATGTAACATGGATTAAAAACTTCAATCCCTATGCTTATCGACCACCCCCAATATTTAGGAGACATTTTAAACTTTAAATCTACATGGGGGCTTCATGGCTTAGTGGTTAAAGCACCTGCCTAGTAAGCAGGACATCCTGGGATCGAATCCCAGTGGGGCTTCAACCCTTTTCCGTCAACTTTGTTAAAGGAATTGTTTCTCTGCCAAATTGAATGGGATAAACCCACAGTAACAGCGACTTCTGATTCTCATGTTTTATTCTCCCCCGGTTGGGTTAAAAAGGACAACTTCTTGGAAACTGAGTGACAATCAGGATAGATCTGTCTGAAGTGGCAAAAAGGAAGGAGTAATTACGCAGAAGGAGTAATTAGGCAAGTTTTGGCAAAGCCACCTAGAAAATATGGGATCCACTCCTAAGTGGGTAAAGGGGGAAAAAAAACCAAACAGGCTCACAGATCAGCGGTTCAAAGGAGAGCAAAACTGATTCTTGATGCCAAGCCTCAGCTTTTGGGTCACCTGACCCTATACACTTCTCTGCATTTAATCATCAGCTGCAGTCCGGTGCAACTGCATTTTGGGTACTTGGGCAAAGAATGATTCTAAGCCAAATATTTGGTCCCATCTGGATATGTTCGTGCATCCCGACGTGGTGGAAGACCAGTTACCAATGCACCCAGCAGGCATGGTGAGGAGCCTCTCTTGTCATCTGTGAGCTCAGACCTCAAGAGAGGCTGAGACTATTTTAAAAAACAAAAACACATTATCTTTTTATTGGTGCAATTTAGAAAAACAGCAGTGAAAGTATCCATCAAAGCTAACAGGCCTGCATCATAAAATCAGGATGGTTTTTATATATGGGCCCACCTGTCACATAAGGTAATTGTATTTTTTTTCCCTGATCTTCCTTCAGGCTCTCTTCCCAGAACACAAAATGTGATTATCCTTGTTCATTGAAATTTCCTCTTTGCCACTTTGCTCTATTCTCTCAGCGCAGCTGGGAAGGCCTGGCAGACACCACCAAGTTCCAAACTGCTTGTAGCTTCGGGTAATTTTTTTGAACTTAAGAACACTAATAATGTACCATACTGACTGGTATAGTTAAAAGAAAGATGGCTCACTCATATCAGCCTCTAGTTAAGAGCAAGGGCAAAAAGAATTTCAATGAAACATAATTGCATTTAACGCAGCATTGTTGTTTAATGATTTCAGACTCCTTTGTGACCCCATCTGGGGTTTTCTTGGCAAAGATCCTGGAGTGGTTTGCCATTTTCTTCTTCAGCTCATTTTACAGATGAGGAAACTGAGGAAAACAGGGTGTAGTGACTTGCTCAGGGTCACAAAGCTAGTAAATATCTGAGGCAGGCTTTAAACTCAGGTCTTCTAGACTCAAGGCCCTTTGCTTTATCCACTACACCACCTAAATGCAGCAACTATTTATTAAATACCTGTAATGTGATGGGCATAGAAAAACAAAAACGAAATAGTCCTGGTCCTCAATTTGCTTCCAGGAGCTGGAGGACTGAGTAGAGGGAGCAGATGAGAGACCAGTTTGGTTCAAATGCAGAACTCACGAAGGGAAGTGGGGGCTAGATTACAGAGGGGCCTCAATTCCAAGCTACAGAGTCTATATTTGTTGTATAGGCAACGAGGACCCACGTTCTATTTGGCATTCAAAGTCCTTCCTAACCTAGTGCCCTCCTACCTTTCCATTCCATCACTCCCCAACACAAACTTCTTGATTCAGCAACACTGGCCTCCTGGCTGTTCCACAAACAAGATACTCCATCGCTTGACTCTGAGCATTCTTCCTAATTGTCCCCCGTGTCTGGAATACTCCTCTGCTCCCCTCCAATTACTGACCTCCCTGGCTTCCTTTCAGTCCCAACTAAAATCCCATCTTCTATACTATAGAATCTATAGGAAGCCTTCCACAACCTCTCTTAATTCTAGCACTTTCCCTCTGTAAATTATTTCCTATCTATCCTGTATATTGCTTGCTTTGTATATATTTGTCTGCTTGTTGCCTCCTCCATTTGATTGTAAGCTCCTCGAGGGCAAGGACTGTCTTTTGCCTTTCCAGCATTTTGCATAGTGCCTGGTACATAGTAGCCACCTAATAAATGTTTATCGATTGGTAGACTGACCAGTCAGATCTATACTTTGGGAAGATTATTTTAGCAGCTTTGTGGAGAATGAATTAGAAAGGGCAGGGGCAGGAAGCATGGAGATGAATTAGCAGTTAATTACAGTCAGTATGGTAACTAGGATGGGACAGGGCCTGACACAAGGGATTGGGGGGGAGGTGGAATACTTTCTCCCCCAGTCGTTCTCCCAACCTCAGTCCCCCACCAGCACTGCACTTCTTCACCCTCTCCTAGACCACTACCATTGTGGGCTGCCACAGGCCACCTCATTGTCACAACACTCTCATTCGTCTTTCCCAGGGCCCAGTGACTGGTGCACAGCAAGAGATTCAGTCTTACAACATCCTGGGGTTGAGGGAAATGACTGTTGCCATGCATTTTCTTACTGATACCCTCCTCCTTCTCCTTCTTCCTTTCCCTGCCCTGCCTTTAACTCCCTCTCCATCTCCTCTGGGGGACCCTCAAGGGCCAGACTCTCCAAGGTGGAGATGCTTCACCTTTTGTGTCATGGACAGAAAGCCTATGAAGCCTTTCTCAGAATAATATTTTTAAATTCATAAAATAAAACACATAGGATTGCCAAGGAAACTTATATTGAAATTCAGTTTATCTATCTATCTATCTATCTATCTATCTATCTATCTATCTATCTATCTATCTATCTATCGAATTTAAAAGCAGGCTCAGAGACCTCAAGTTAAGAACTTGTGCTCTGGGGGAAGCTTTCTGCCTCTCCCTCAGCCTTGCTGTACCTTCCCATGAATGTCTTACATGAAAGTCTTCTATAATACAACTAAGGCGAAGGCCAGTGCATTCCAGCAGAAGTACAATTACAAGGCATTTCATACCCTGAGTTCCTCTGGCAGCTTCCCCAGCAAAGGTCTTATATCACCTTGTGGTTTGACCCCTCGCTATCTAACTGCAGGCACCAGAATGTCTAGTTAGCTAAGGGAAGGGCTGATGAGGACCTAAACTAGGGTGATGGCATAGAAGGAAAGCATGCAAGAGATGTTATAGAGGTAGGATCAAAATTTTAATAAGCTTAAAACTGCACTAACACTTTTGGGACACCCTGCACATGACTATATTGACCTATCTTTTTAAAACCCCAACTCCATACCTAACGTTAACTAAATTCTGGGCATGCTACTGCTGCAAAGAAACAGATTAGCTATTCATTTTTGTGTGTGATTCAATTTTTGACTCCTCAGTCACTCAGCAAGCATTTATTAAGCACCTACTATGTGCCAGGCACTGTGCTAAACCCTAGATAACCGCTAATCTGGTGGTGAAACACAGAGCCGTCAACATCTGGACAATCAAAAATGTGAGGCTCCCACAAGGGCAATGGAGAGACACATGGCAGGCATAGGTTGCAGCAGATTCTCAATGGAGACTCGTAAAGTGGATATGCTATAAAGGATATTATCCAGGAAACAGTGAAAAAAAGAGTTTGGCTGGTTGCATGATGAGAGTGAAGGATGGCGAGGTCGAATGTGGCAGTGGCACCAATAGAAGGCTAATCAATGGAGAAGAAGGTCTCCAGAATACTGGGTGATATGTTACCCTCACCCCAACCCCAGGAAGATTTCTAGGAAGATACAGAGAAAAGTCAACTCACAGAATGGTCTACATCATTGGAGGGTCAAGCTACATCAATAAAAGCATTGGTTTATTGATGTTCTGAAGTATCATTTCAAGTGGCTGGAGATATCATGGAGGAAATCAGGTCTTCTAATGTTAACGTGTGTTTTAAAAACATTGAATGTAGAATTTAGGGTAAATTGGACATATCATTTTTGAATTCATTCTATATACCACTGCCACTTTAGCTTTCTTACAATAGCACTTTCATCATGTCACTGCCCTGCTTAGCTCCCTCTTACCTACCACTTCAAGGCCCCAAATCCCTGCCCCAAATCTAACCAGTCTTATTTCCCACCAGCAGCTTTCAGTCAGACAGGTTTCTGCACTGTCTCCCTATGATGTTGCCCTCATCTGGCACCCCACCCCAGTTCCCTTTACCTCTTCAAATCCAACTCAAGGCTCAATTTAAGCCTTGCCTCTCCCATGAAACCATCCCTAAGACCTCCAGCCCAGTGATCCCTCCTTTCACAGAAGAAACTTGAGTCTGAGGAATGTTAAGAGACTTGCCCAGTGTCATGCAGTTAATAAGCGTTTGAGATAAAATTTGAACTCAGTTCTTCCTGATTCCAAATCCAGTGCTCTATCATCTATTCTATAGCTCCTAGCTCCCTGTCCTCCAGAAGCCTACTTTCTATTAGGGGAAACAACGTATGAACAGATAAGTAAATACAAACACATATAACACAAAATCACTAGCAGCTGAGGAATCAGGAAAGGCCTCATGGAGGAGGGAGCACTTAAAATAAAGCTTGATGGAAGTTAGAGATTCTAAGAAGCAGAAGTGAGAAGTGAATGCATTCTGTGCATGGCGGAAAAACGCAGCCTGTACAATTGCATGAAAGTGGGACTTATAACATCACGTGTGGGGAATAGCATGGTGATTTGATGCCAACGGCATACTAGCCAGGACCTCCATCTGTTGCTTATTGCAGGTACAATGCAATCCAATACTCTGCCCTTCTTCCTGGATCTCTACCTGTTCTGTGCTGTGGGGACTTCCTTATCTCCACCCAGCTGCTCTGTTTGTTCTCCCAGTGGTCTGACCTCTTCCACTATCACCCAAGCCCTGATTATGACTGCTTTGACAGAGGCTACAGGAAACATATAGCAGTTACTTTGAGATAGATTCCCAATTGATCTCAGCAATTTGGTTTTCTCAGGATGCTCACTTCTGTCCAACTTTCTCAGCACCAAAATTACATAGTCCTTCCAACTCCATTCTCATGTAAAAGGAACAAACAGAATTCAGAATGTACATTGCCAACTTTGAAATCCATCGTGCAAAGAACAGGGCATAATCTCTGAAGACACATACTTCCTGAACATTATGCTAGGCTGGTCTGCTCTGTTCCTGCCACTTCATATTTTTT